AAAGGGTGTGTTGCAAGGTAGCAAGTATAATTTTCAATTTAGCCACCAGCTAAGTTCAGATCGCGGAGGCACGGTGGCCTCATGGTTAGTGCGCTCAACTCCGGATCGAGTGGTCCGGGTTCGAGCCCGGGCCGGGACATTGTGTTATGTTCTTAGGCAAGACACTTTACTCTCACGGTACCTCTCTTCACCCAGGTGTATAAATGGGTACCGGCAATTTAATGCTGGGGGTAACCCTGTGATGGACTAGCATCCCATCCAGGGGGGAGTAGAAATAATACTAGTCGCTTCATGCTATAGAAACCAGAGTTAAGCACCAGCCTAATGGGTCACTAGGCTCGTAAACAGACTTTACAACCTAAGCTCAGATCATACACATCACATTTTCTAATCATAAACTTGCACCATTATGTAGTGTCAACTCAACACTTACCTTTCTTGGCCTTTTCAGCTCTTTCAATTTCATTTTGCTGTGGAGAGTAATAGAAGGAAATGTCTGTTCACTTTGGGTCTGATATTCTTTTTTTCTTGTTGAGTTAATGTAAATAAAGGGAAACACCACAGATTACCCAATATAGAGATTAGTATTAGTTACAATTTTGCTTAATGAATGTGACACTCAGGTGCCATTGATTTTCTAGAGTGTAACTGTCTGTTTTTCAACTGCATTACCATGAGCAGTGGACTGCCATAATTTAATGTTAAAAGCAAACTTAAAAAAAACATTTTTCAAATCTAAATGCATTGTACTGGCACAATGGAGAGAAAAAAAAAAAAACAAAAAAAGGGATACTATTTGCATTCTAACTCAAATAAAAACATAAAATCTCTCTGACATGCACATGAAAACATTCCCTATTTTGTTCACAGAACCAGTACATATTTTTTTATTTAAGTAAAAATAGGATGAAAGAAAAAGATAAACATAGTCAGACACAACTAGCAACACAAAGCACAGTTGTAGCTAAATCCTTTTCTGGGATATTCAATCCTTCTTCCTTGCTCTTCTGTTCCCAACCTACCCCTCCCTAAACTCTTCTTTTGTTACAGCTCTGAGGTAAATGTGGGTGGAAAGGACAAAAAAGGGTATTGGAAAGGTGAAGAGTAGTTTGAAGTTTTTCCACATTTGTAGTAAAAACACAACTTCTTTTCTTGAATGAAAAAGCTAAGTTCAAGCCACCCAGTTGTCAAATAAATATTTTTGGTTTTTATCAACCCAATATCAAAGTCACCACTAGCAAAGAAATGATTGTGGTAATCTAATGCAGAATAGCTTAACATGGAGATTGGACACATCACAAGGTTGTGATGGAGTAAAGTTTCTTACTCAAGTTGATTTTCAAAATCATATGATGGTGTACTTCTAAATCACAATCCCAACAATAACACCAATTTGTCATGCAATTGACTATATTACTTGAATCAATATCTCTACAACAATATGAAAATCTCCTGTGAAAAATGCTCTATTTTTACTTGCAAAAATACAGGTAACATAAGAAGCAAGACATTGCAGTTGTAGTCCCTTGACAAATGTAAAATAAGTTAACAGTGTCAAATCAAAGTACCAGTACATTAATAAGTATATCACTCTTTGAGTGAATTTTACAGAAAGCAAGAATCCTCCTTGAAGAATCACTCATAAGGATAACAAGATGCTGATGCAAGATAATCTATGCAATAAAGGATGAGAAGAGGAAAAGTTTTTATTTAGTAATGTTGGAAAAAAGTGTGTTAACCATGAGCATTATCATGACAGAGGAACTTTGGCTAGAGAGTTCAGATTTTGTGGCATGGCTGGGTGACCGTGTTGTTTTCTTGGGCAAGACACCTAACCCTCACAGTAGTTCTCTTCACCTGGGACTATGAAGGATATCAGAAAACTGTCGGGAAACTTGATGCATTGCTTTGGGATTGCATGCAATGGATTTGCACCATATCCAGAGGGAGTGGCAATACAAATGAAGATATGTACCTTGATAAGCTTTTTGTTAGCAACAGAACTGTCTCCCTCCGTATCATCAGGTTTGAGAAGCTCTTTCACCAAACGAGTAATTGATTTGGCAAGCTTCTCGTCTCCTTCTTCAACAAGATGTAAGTGATCTTTAAAGTAAAGATTTTCATCAAGTGTACCTCCTCTGACAGTCCAGCCCTTCTCAGGTGGTAAGAAATACACACTCTCATTCTGCAGCTCATCTGAATAGCTTATATACTGGAAGAGTTCTTCATTGACTTCATCAACCTTGTTGCGCCTTAAGCTGGGGTATAAATCCCTGGGAAGTATTCCACACACAATGATGCTCACATGGGGCTTCTTGTTCCGGATGAAGTCAACAATGGTCAATATTCCTTGCGCAATTTCACTTGCACTGTTTTTGTCTATGTTGTTGGTGCCACAAAGTACAACAATTACTTTAGGGTCACATTCAAGTTCCCCGTTCTGGAGTCGCCAAAGAACGTGCTGAGTTTTGTCACCACCAATACCAAAGTTCAGTGCTTTTAGTGGGGCAAAGTATTTTCTCCAGATATTTGGATAACGACTCAATCCTTTCATGATGGAATCCCCAGTCAAAACAACATCGACGTCAGAGGTTTCTGCAAGGGCGACATACTGTTGATGCTCTTTATCCCATCCAGGTTTATCTCTGCCAACTGGCAAGGCAGCTGAGGACATGGGCCGAGACCTCCATTTTGGTTGAACGAGTTTACTGGGTGACTTCACCTCTGCATCTTTTTCCTTTTTCACTTTCACTGCTGATGTAAGGTCAGATGTTTCTACTCTTGTGACTGAGTCAGTCTTTTTCCTGGAGGCCCTCTCATCATCACTCTCATTACTGTCAGAATGACCAGAGTCTCGCCTGGATTTCTTGTTCTCTCTTTCCGGGTTCTGCGTTGAAATAAATGACTTAATTTGTAACTCAAGCACAAAAAAATTCTCATTGTCAAAGGACAGCAGACAAGGACTATGGTAAGGATCAATAAAAGAGGATGCAAGTTGGCTTATCTTTGTAAAATTATAATAGTGAAATGAAAATTCAAATTACTAAAACTTATTCATGACAACTTAAATTAGAATATTCTTACCTGAATATACTTAAATAGAGTATTTCTATTCTGCTCTGAATAAAAGAAGCCATTCTCAGCTTCACCTGCATAGCCAGCAGTTACAATCTCATCTTGTAGAACATGTACATGTGACAAATTGCCAGATACTTTGAGCTATTGGGAGTATTTGGAGCCAAGTAACTAGTCTGAATGTGAATGTGAATGCACAGCAGGTAAGTACTTTTTTCATTCATCCAAACATAGAAGTTTCTCAAAAAGGTATACTGATTTAAAGCATTACTGAACACAGCCCAGCTTGCAATAGAGATCTCTGAAGCTCAATTAGAGCATTTAACAGAAACTGACTGGAACTCTTTTAATTCTTGATGAACTAATGCTTTTCCCCCATGCTTGTTTGAAATATTAACATCTCTCTTTGATGCATCTTGAAGTACATGCAGTTGGACTGGGTTACATCTCAAAATATAGAACATATACACTTCTAAGTGACAGTGCATAGGTAGCTTTTTACACAAAAGCAAAAATCAAACAGTCCTGAGGTAGTTGCAGATCAATTATGTTTCTGCCTTAAGAGGTATCAGTTGGCCACCAATGTCCAGCAAGAGTAACATCACTCCATTTTGAGAGAAATGTCATTTTAAGATGTGTTAAGCCTCTCTAGAAGAGCTCTTTTCAAGAATTCAAGTGAGAATTTCTCTTTTGAAGTAACTCTGTTCAAGGGACAACTGTCTTGGTCCCAAGAGTGCTAGCAGTACTGCTGTATCATTGTTGTCTAATGAGCTTGTGTTGTCCTGATTGCAATTTCACCTTCCCATATCTCACAACAGGGTTTTTCTAACATTGCAGATCCTTTCAGTATGCATTTTATACGGCCTAGATCATCAATAAGTTATTCCTATCTTAGTTGGCAGAGAAATCAAGTGTAAAATTGGAAGTGTCTGGTTTTAGAATCCATTAGTGAAAAACATGTTTTTCTTTTTCTCACAATGGTGACAAATGTGAAACATCTTTCTTGATTTCATGATTATTAACAGCTGTTCATTTATTTTGAATGTGTACCAATCCCAGTGAGATCTCTTGCTGTGCACAATAAATTGACTTTTTCTTTTTTTAACAGAGTGGCAGGGGGTGGGGGGTGGGGGGTGTTATTTACATTTAGGGACATTTAATTCCCAAAGCACCCTCTCAGAACATATTAAGTCATTTCATTTCTGACATTACTGACAAATACCAGTCTACAAAAAGTGTTTAAAATAATGCTGCCTCAAGAGATTTGATAAAAAGCACAAAGAAACCCTTTCACCCAACAACATGCATGAATGTATCATTTCCTTCACCCATGCAATTGAAAACCATGTATATCAATGGAGAAACAGTGATGGCAAATGTATTTCAAACCACGGAGGCTTAGACTTTGTTTATGTAAGTTTACCCTTTTTAAAACTACATGTAGATGATGCAAGGTAATTTTGAACTCGTCGTTTAAATCTTAATTTAAAACATACAAAAATCTTGTTCCCACAACCAAAATTTTTTGTCACCAGCCAGAGAATGTTAGCTGGATTTGTGCCAGTATCAGTTGCAGTCTCAAGCCACGCATTCAATACCTCTATCAAGAACAGGGTAAAAAATGTGAGAAACCTGTGAACATACATGGTAAGATTTACCTGACATGTCTGCTACACCTAGAGAATGAGCTCCACTACAGAATTCATTCAATCTTGCTAATAACACATTTACACAATGGTTAATCAATTGCAAAAAAAAAAAAAAAAAATTCAAAAGAGAAGAAAAAGGCTTACTTCTTTTCCTGCTAGTTGCGCTGCCATTTCTTTAGCTTTTCGAAATTCTTCAGTGATGTCACCTGTTGCAGGTGCAGAGCCATTTTCATTGCCTACGTTATCATCTGTAGCTGTGCTGTCTGGCTCTGTTTGCTGCTGATCTCCTTGATATCTCTGGAGGTTAGCTTGGATGCGCTCTTGTTCCAGCTATCAAATGGAGAAGACAACAGCCATTAGAGCATTTAGAGAGTTCTAATTCATAAGAAAATAACTTTTTTTGAAGCTAGATGTCAAAGAAACACTCGAAAATACAGAACTATTTTGCACATACCTTCAATGTTTATATACATATATACATAATGGCAAATATAATTGCAGACTTCAATGAAAACTAAATTGAAAATTGCTCTCAGTGAAAATTGTCATGACAGCAAACTTTAATGTATGGTTCCAGAAAATATCCATACCCCTCCCCCACAGAGGGTTTTTTATCAGTTTGACCCCCCACCCCACTGGATTTTCCATTCCAGAGGGCATTGCATTACTCCCCCCACCCCCTGAAATTTCCATGATTTTTTTCCACTTGGTTCCCCACACCCCTTGGAAATTCCAAATCCAAAAAAAGAGACTTAATTTATTTTGATCTACTTAGAGCTATAATAAAAATTTAATTCTCTTTAAAGTGACCATGGAAATTCTAGACATATTCACAGTCGCGGTAAATGTTCAAAACTAACAACTGAGCTTGTTTAACACGTTAATGTCCTGGCAGCTGACCTTTTCACTGTTCGATTGAAAGAAGTTTTCATTCAAAAATCCAAAAAAACTACTAAAAGTTGACGACCTTTTAAGTGTATATCGTATATGTTTTGTAACTGAGTCCAAGTTTGAATTTATGCGTAGTCAAAACAACATCGTCGAATTAGGTTGCACACACAAGAAACTATTTACTACATACTTAGTTTTGCTGTCGCAGCGAAACTCGGGAAAATACCTCAATGCTAATCTCCAAGATATTTTTGTATGTTGCAGGTGTAATTTCTATCTAAAGTAGAGTAGAACCATCTGTTTACATTATTTTTTCGTGCCTCCTTACCGTGGTCTGTTAAATATCAACAATGTATTGCATAGCAATAAAATCACGCACTGTAAAATTATAATGAAAACTCCAACTGGTTATTTGTCACATATTTAAAACAAAATTTCAAGTGAACGAGAAGCCAAGCCAGTGAAATTAACCTATTGATGTCCAGTGCACCCGTGTGCGCCCATGTGGACCCACACCCTTTCTACACCTTGTGACGTCATCACTTTTAACCCTGGAGCACGACTTTGAGCACATACTTGAACAGGTTGAAAATATCTTACAAACGATACCAGAATGAATGCAATGGAGTGAAGGAGATTGGAGGAATAGCCAAAAAACCATGTACCTTTGACCTGAAAATCTGCACGAAAATCTTGTTCCATTACCCACATACCCTTCTGAGCATGTGGTTTGAAAATAATGAGTAGTTTCCTAAAAAATCTTTACACCAAAATGAAGCCTACTAAATTTCCAGCAAGTGAGGGGAAACTTCAGGCAAGGAGAGGGGAAAAAAAGGGCAGGAGAAAGAGAGAAAAGTAAAAGTCGTAAGTGGGGCATTACTTTTCAACCCAAAAACTATCTCCAAATTTTGCTTTCTGCGCATGCCCAAGATTTTCAGGCCGCCGTTTTGCATTTGGATCGAAAGGCCGTCGAGTGTACAAGCTGTCAATGGGTTTTTGGTAAGTTTGAGCTTTTAAAACCACAACAGTGACCCAAAATCTGCTCAACTGGCTTCAAAACACAGTTTTTCACAAAAGCTGCGGCCATTAATGGGTTAAAGAGCCAATGCAAGTGCACGAAGCGAGAAAACACGCATTTCCACTCGAACCCATTTCCGCTCAATCGCTCAATACATTGACTCATCCTCGGTGAAAAAACATGTCAAACTCACGGATGACGTAAAACAAAGAAAATAAAGCACCAAGAGGCATTAAACAATAACCAAATCCTAGCATGAGCTAATGAAACAAAGAAAAAATATCACAGGTTTTTAAACAGAGGTAAACCTAATACATCTCAGGGGACTGGAAATGATATTTTTCAAGCCGGCCATTTTGTTTGACTTCGCGTCGAACGTACTGCTCAGTAGAGTCTCTCAGTGGTAATCTGTGTCATCCAATGCCAGAATAATAGTGGAAAATAAATGACAAGGAATCTTACGTTTGTTTCAACAGATAGAATTTTCAATTTTTCTTGGTTGCCTTGCATCAATTAGAAAAGTACGCCAGTGTTGTATTCGATCGCACTTCAAACCCTCTGAAAAAAAAGCTCTTTATGTACCCCCTTCCCCTTCGGAAATTTGCCTCTTTTACACCCCTCTACCCCTTGGAATTTCCGTGACCCTCTGTGGGGGGGGGGTATGGATATTTTCTGGAACCATACAATGTTCTTTTTGACCCCACATTTGTATGGGGGATTACATCAATCTACAATTTGGATTCAATTGTCACAAGTATCATTCTTTATTGGGTATTCTTGCAATTCCTCCTCCAACAGAGTTCTTACCTTTCTTTGCTTGATTTCTTCCTTCTTCTTTTCCATGAATTCAGAGGGAATGCCACCAATATTTTCCTGGGCACTTAAAAGAAGAGTCCACAACTCTTTCATAAATTCACGAGCATTCTTGGATTGTAAAAAGCCAGTAATATTTATTTGCATGAACCTTGGATCTGGACTCTGAAAAACAAATACACAAAAAATAAATACGTTATACTTAAAAATTGCAATTTTTTTTCTTTTAACTGAGATCTCAGTTTTGAAAATAATGAAAGGCAGTTGTAATATAAATTTTGAAAGGAAAGAAACAGTAGCTAATAGGTGAGTCAAACAATGCCTATCTACCAGTATGAAAAAAGAAAAACCTATCATTAAACCATTTTTTGTTTTCTAAAATGTTACAAAATCCTTCTCAGTTTATATTTTTCCCACATGATTTCAATTTATCATACCTATACCCTGTTCAAAAGCTCTTGAGACTATAAAATGAAGCCACATCTGAAAAGGCTCAATGGGTGAAACTCAAAGCTCAAGATAGCTTAACACTATAAAATGTGATCATTGTTTTACCTTTTCTGATTCTAGCATGTTAAAAACATACTGCATAACCACGTCATCTTCAGCTCCAAGGATATCAATCAACTTCTTTGTTATCCAAGGTTTTATTATATCAAGGTTCACCTTGTCCATGTCCACCTTCCACACAAAAAATAAAGAAAAAAAGATATGTTGACGAAAGAGTGAGGCTCTCTACTATTTGTGCCATGTTATGACAGTTACTTGAAAGCTATATAACTCAAATTATTCAATATATTTATTTTCCATCCATGATGGCTAATTAATGATTAGTTTACCAAAAGTGGATTGCTGTTCACCTAAAGGATAACACTATCCATCCTTTAAAAAAGCAGGGCCTCAACTACAGCTTAAGTCCCTTAACCCATGAGAGCAATAAGCATCTAATTTCTCCCAAAGCATCACAACTGAATCAAACTTCAAGGTTATGAGAATAAAGGAAATGATCACAAGGTAATGAAGATCTTGATTATGAAGCAAATTCTTCTTGTAAGTGCCATTAAAAATATATATAAAGAATAGCATGGAGAACTTGCAAAATTACGTTATGGTGTAAATTGACATTGTTCATTTTGCCTACATGATAATAATAGAAACAGTTTTGGTCTATCAACTACTTTCAAAGCTACAGGGTTCCCACACTTTTGACCTGTTAAAATTCCATGACTTTCCATGACTTTTTCCATGACTTTTTGAAAGATTCCATGACCTAAGGTAATTTTCCAGGTTTTCCATGACCTGTACGAACCCAGGGGTTTCATTAAGGGCCAGGCATCGGGCAAATTGACTGGTTGTGAGGACGGATTTTCCCACCTGATTTGACGGTCTGGAGGAAAGTTTATCTTTATAAAGAAGTTCAGTTCAAGGAGTTTTGCCTGCCTGTGAAAACCAGTTGCCCTCCTGCAGAAAACATTAATGAAACCCCTGCGAACCCTGAGCTAGATGTCAAAGAAACACTTGAAAATACAGATCTATTTCAGAACATAGCTTCGCTGTTTAGGCGCATAATGGCAACTTTCACTTTAGCAGCTTATGAGCCGCCGACATGTAACCTTTAACTCCTGGGTATGCTCTTTGAGGTCATTCCTTAATGATCAAATTATTCATGAGCCAAAAATAAAAACTATTTACAGCAATTGTTGTATCGTATATAACTACACAGTTCGTCTGATGGCCATTTCATCGATTGTTAAGATTTTCAGTTTCCTTATTCTAGCAATTTAAACTTCCCCAAAGCTCAGTAAACATAATAGCAATAACACGTGAACGTGGTAACACAATTTTGCTGCATGCATGTTATACAAATTTTATTACTACATGTGTTTATATTGGCAGAAAACATTAAAAAATCTTCGAGGTACCTAAAGTATGCAGCATTCGCAAAATTTTCCGTAGTTTCCCATAGAGTTTAAAAGAGGGAACCAAACGCCAACACAGAGCTGGCTTACCTTTTTGTTGAGAACATCGTCAAATCGCATGGATTTCAACAGCTTCTTTTGCTTGTCAAGAAATCGATTGTCCTGTTCTGCACTCGTACCCTGTAAAATAGGTAAATCCATAGTATTTGATCTGACAAAACCCTCCCCTCAAAAAATGGCAAGTGAAAGCTTAATTAACACGCTTTGTTTCTCCTTACCCGAAAGAAACCAGCATCCGCCATCTTGAAAGCCGCCTGGTCTCTGTCTGATCACATGGCTTTGTTAGTTCGGTAAATCGATAGCCCATCGGAAAGGGTCGTCGGTGCGAGGCTCCAGCACATGTGTGAAGCAAGATGGCGGACGAAACGCGACTTGAGTTGGAAAAGCGGTTAGCAGGCCATTCGGCTTATTTCAACTCCTTGATTGAGTTGATACCAGTAAAATATTACATACCTATTGATGACGAAGAGAAAGCAAACAAGTTTTATAAAAATCGTTCGAAGAAAGCGCCAAAACAGACTATTAAAGAAGCATCGAGGAAAGCCAAACGTGCTCGACTAGATCCAAACCAGCATAAAACAATCCAAGAAATTCAAAAAGAGACAGAGGGAAATGCGTCCACCGGAAATCAGATTGATCCGAGTAACGAAGAAAGAATTGAGAGGCCCAGCTTTAGCGTCGAAAAGGTGGAAAGCGAAAGTCTCGATGATCTAAGATCTCGCCTTCATGCAAGAATAGAAGGATTGCAGAGGAAACGTAACGCAGGAAGTGGGAGGCCAGTTGACATACAACAACCACGTGTGAAGAAATCGAAGAAAGAGGTGAAAGAGAAAAATAAGCAGAAAACAGCTACTTCCTCTAAGGAATCGAAAGGAAGTAAACACCACGATTCTTTACCTACCCAGAAAATATTGAACGAAAGTGGAGACGTTGTTTTTAGTAAATTTGATTTCTTGGAAGCTAAGAAAAAACCACGACCTGGGTTGAAAAAGAAAAATTACGAAAAATTGCTCGCAAAAGCTGAAGCTCGAAAGAAAAAGCTGGAATCTTTAAAAAAAGAGGATTTGCATAAAGCTAAAGAATTGATGGATAAACTTTCCTGGAGTCAGGCGATTGAAAAAGCTGAGGGAATAAAACAATATGATGACCCTAAACTTATAAAGAAGGCAATGAAGAAAAAAGAGAAGGCAAAAACAAAAAGTAAACAGCAATGGGAAGAACGGATTGGTCATCAAAAGAAACTGGCTGAGGAGAAACAAAAACTAAGACAAAAAAACATTAAAGAAAGGATTGAAGCCAAAAAAGGAAAAAAATCTGGCAAAGGAAAGAAAAAGCACAGACCGGGATTTTAGTAGTTATGATAAGATATTTAAATGAGACCAACACAGCAATAACATGCAAATAAAAGAAGAGAGAGGATAAAAACAGATAAATGAACTTGAACATTAATGGTATAATGTTTGAAATCTTCACAGCTGTGCTTTAATACCACAAGGGTGTACATGAGAACACAGACAGGCTCAGTGCAAGTCTGACCCAAAGGGCTCCTCAAAGCATGATAAACAAGGAACGTCCTTGTCCTTTTTGTGTTGCAATTTGTGATTCAGCTTCTGGATCAAAGCAGTATACTTGAAGAAGTATTACATGTCCAAGAACCTTATCTTTACCATTAAAACTTGTTTAAGATCATGAGATAAGGTGCAAAACTTGTGCAGTGCTCCCGAGGCATTTCTTCACAGGTGGAAAAAGGAAAGAAAATTCATTTGAAAAATACTTTATGCAGTGACTAGTGTCCTTATATCCACAATGAACCATCAAAATTCAAAAGGTCTGGTTTAATCTTTTCCTTTTTCACTTATATTAAATAATGACTTGTACAACAGATAGAAAGCTTAGTTTTTTTTTTTTCTTTTACGAAGTGTAAGGAATCTAGGCTTGAGCTGGCTCTCTCCCATCTTTCTTTTATGAGTCTAAATTAATAATTTAACAACAAAGTTTAATGTCTTCTCAGGTGATGTTTTATCTCTCCTTTTATTTCAATTACAACATTATTTTACAAATAATTTAAAGGGTACTTGAGAACTAGTTTGAACTTTTTTTGTACAGTGCTCTCCCTTGTAACTTCTTGATTTATTTTAAGCATGTCAACCTTCCAGCCCTTCACAAATACCAAGTGGAAAAGAATGAAGTCAGATGGTGAAAATTATTAACCTTTCCTTGTACAAGGTGAAACCTTTCCCTTGGAAATCTTGATTAAAATGGGTCATTTCTTACATGCCCAAGCCCTTGTTTTATAATGAGGTAACTGCAGAGTATTTTATACAAGACAAATCCTCTTTTGGAAAAAAAAAAAAAAAATTTACAGAAAAATAACTTTGGGTACCTGGCTTTAATGTGAAAGAGTTTTAAGAAATTGAAAATAGCCTCTTGAAACCCCTGGTATAGGTGTGTAGAGCATATTTTTAACAGCATTTCTTTCGCTGGGCTGACATGGAATCACTTTGAGGGGCTTCTAATTTGCTCGGCTTCTAATTTGCTCTCATTCAGTAAAGCATCACCTCTATGCATGCTAGCAGGACACCCTGACCAACTGTTCAAAGGAAATAAGTTGAACAAAAACTTTCATCAGCTGTTGGAGGGTTATATTTCTGGAGCAGTTTTGACTGTCAAATCAAGGCTCCTATTTTAGTCAGGAAGAAGGTCATCTCCAATCTCTTCATCACCAAATTCATCCTCAACTTGCTGTGGTCTTTGCCTGCCAGCAGTCTTTGGCCGAGCTGGAGCTTCTCCAAGGGGATCTGCATATGTGGCATCTACAAATCAGGATGATCAAACAGTTAATCATTGGAAAGTTTTCTTGCATGTAAATAAAACCTTACATTATTAAGAAGCTACTTAGCAACCAAAGTAACTCAAAATTTAATAACCTATTACCAAACATTCCTTTTTTATCAGCAAAACAAGCCAGGAAATATACTAAACATTTCCCAAAGAGTTCCACCTACATGCACTACCTGGGTTAGGGCTTAGACTCTAAATGTCTGATTGGTGATTCTCTATTCATGCTGCTATGTGCTCCTGGTAATTAAGCTAAGAGATTTTGACGTTGCATCAAGATGACACCCCCCACCCTCCTTCTGATGAAATGGTTTATTCAAATCATAGGTTCACAGATTTTGGATTATCACCCAGCCACAATGCAGTGGCTGAAGAAAGAAATAGAATGTTGTTGTAGTTCAATTTTATCCTTGGTTTCAAACTCATTATCATACATTAACATGACCAAGAACAAAGGAAAATAAAATTTGAACCAAGTATAAAATTGAACTACAACATATACATGCATTCATAAAAATAGTTTGAGTGTCTCCAAAGTTACACTAACCCTGAATTATAACAACTGAAGTATGATAACAACCTGACCCAAGGAGTAATTTTTAATCAACTTACCAACTTCTTTTGATATACCAAAACCAAATGACTCATCGTTATCTGCAATTAATGGTTTTGTTCTTCCAGCAGAGCGGTTGGCACTTCTTCTCCTGTCAGACCCTCCACTGTCCACTCGTCCTGATTCTACATTGGATGACAATAAGAGAAAGCCTTTAACTATAATCTGAAACAAAGCACTTGTATTTTCTCTTCACAAGTTCATTACATTATACAACAAAAAGGTGGTGGGAATAGAAAAATTTGTCTGCTGAATTGTATTAAGCAAACATAACATCTTCACATGTTTACATGAAGATACATTAAAGCCAAAGGGGAGAATTAAAAACAATATCTCCTGATTGCAAGGTCAAGGAGAATTTCCACTTTGCTCTTTTAGATTCTTTTTCTCCATGCAACAGTGGCTGTTTCTTGTCAGGGATGCTACATTAGCCTCACTTTTTTTTTTTCGACAAAGAGTAAGGGGCTACACCAGAGGCTCTCCCACCCTTAGTCTCATTGTCACGTGATTATTTGCATGCTATGCAGTCTGAGAGGCTGGTTTAACTGGCTTTGTGTGAGATCTACCCAGCAAATATCAGCACTGTCAGATGCAAAATTAACTGCACTTACCACTCCCTGCACTGCTATTGCGTGAACCACCAGAACCAGGCATGTTAGCACTTCCAGCTCGCCCACTTCCTTTCCTAGATCCACTGTTAGCACGCTACATAATGAAAAAAAAAAAAAAGTCAGGTTTGAGTTGTGTTCCTCTCTATATAAACCTCTGGCAAGTGTCTCTCCCCCTTGGGGTTCTTAGAATTATATTGATGAGTGGAATTAGAAATTATTTTTTAAGAAGACAGTTTTTTCAGGATACATATCAATTGTAAAATTTTTATAGGCTGTTGTTCATACTTTTCTTTCCAAAAAATGTATGAGTATTGACTGCAAATTTGTTTCAAAGGCTCAATAAGTTTAAGGACTGGTGCAGGTATCAGTCATTCCTTAAAACTTTCAATTTCCTGCCCTTCCATTGAACCTGTGGAGGGAAGCACTGTTCATGGGACAGATAAAAAAAAAGTTAACAAGCATGACTGATCCAAGAGAGTAGCTAATTTCTTGATGAGCATTCTTACTGTGAATAGCACTAAAGAGATTTTCCTGGCATTATTACAAGTATCATCAAAAAAGTGCTAGTCTGAAGACTGAAACAAGAAGAAACATCTATCAAAAGGTCTTGGTTACCTGTTGCTTCATCTCTCTGGCTTTTTCTGCTTTCTTCAGTTTTTGAGCATAGTCTTGAACATCTTTTAAACCAAGATCTGTGCAAATTCTCACCAAGAATTTAAGACCTTTAAAATAAACAAGCATTACCTGAATATGCTGTTAGAGCACTATGAGCAGGAAATCTTGGGTTTAAAATTGGGTTGACACAAAAATCATGATACTTCAATTATCTGTCATTCTTCTCATTTTCAAAACACTCTCAAAGAGACCTGGTTAAAAATGACCAATTTATTGCAGTATCCATAAAACTGCAGAGAGAAGGTTATCTATTCAGTTTCACTCATTTCAAATTTAAACAGTTTTCTGTTTTGAGACTTCAGAGGAGCAACGAATTTGGGAGTATAACTGCTTGGTAACAAAATCATTCATGCAGTAAATGGCTTGAACCCGGGGGTAACATGTGAAGGTGTAGTCTGATCGTCCGGGTGAGTGTAGTCACCCGGACGATCAAGTGACGTAAGTCACTTACATCACTTGAGTCTTACAGCCAATAACATCACGGCAAAACCAACTGATCATTTCACACGAACTGGAATAAGAACATTCTACTGACAACAATCATTCACTTGACTCTGATGATGTCTTCCGCACAGGTTGTCGAAACGTCAGTCACTACCACCGACAATAGTCCTTCTCAGGACTACACTCACCCGCACGATCAGACTACACCTTCACAAAATCATTCATTTTAATGAAAAGGACTTTCTTCATGTGAAATAAGGAAGTAAATTAATTTGTTCTACAAAAATGCACTTTAAATCTCAGAAGTCTGGGGTGACAGGCCTTGGGAGCTTCCTCAGGAACAAAGTTATATGAATCTTCCAAAGATAAAAGTTAGAGATAAGTGACACACAAACTTACCGGTCATTTCACACGAACTGGAATATCAACATTCTACTGACAACAATCATTCACTTGACTCTGATGATGTCTTCCGCACAGGTTGTCGAAACGTCAGTCACTACCACCGACAATAGTCCTTCTCAGGACTACACTCACGCGCACGATCAGACTACACCTTCACAAAATCATTCATTTTAATGAAAAGGACTTTCTTCATGTGAAATAAGGAAGTAAATTAATTTGTTCTACAAAAATGCACTTTAAATCTCAGAAGTCTGGGGTGACAGGCCTTGGGAGCTTCCTCAGGAACAAAGTTATATGAATCTTCCAAAGATAAAAGTTAGAGATAAGTGACACACAAACTCTGCTACATCACAGCCTGCTAAGTTTTTTAATACAAACACTTTTGGTAAATAGTACTTACACTCCACATTATCAGGAAACCTTTTATGTATGGTTTTGTATGTTTCCAAAGCCTGTTGATAATTACCTATAACAAGCAAGATTATKATTACTTGGCATGTATGTCATAGTAAGAAGAAGGACTTTGTGCAAAAAGTGACGACAGGCTGGGTTTTGCAACCCTGTATACGTCCTCAGGAAAATGTAGAATGGGATACAAAATACTAGATTGAAGCAACTTGGAAAGAAATGTAAGCACAGCCCACAAATGAAATACACTAAAGGGAAGACAAACAAGGGACAAACCAACCGATTCAATAAGTTTGCTCCCCAGAATTGATAATAAAAATTCCTAGCAATTTTTTTTATTCAATATCAGAGAGTTACACATCCAAAGGTGCTTAATGCAGGAAAATTAAAAATGGAGTGTCAGCATAATAAGTGGCACCAGTAAGAGATTCTCTGGGGTCTTTTAACATGTTTTCCAAGAAAATATGCCTTGTGGTTAGCTTGAGGAGGGCAAGGGGGGGAGAAGTGGGAGGGGAAGGGGAAAGCCCTTCAAATACCACAGATTCCACAGCTCCACCATCCCTGTGGCCACATTGTTACATAAAACAAACTTGCATCACTTAAACAAAGACAGCATTTCCACAATTCAACTACCTACCACTTCTTCTATAACAACTTGCTATCATAAGCTGCCACTTGACTTCATTTGGCCTGTGGGTGATGTATGAAATTGTTATTATAATAAGATAAGATGTTTCTTTTGTCAATTATCCATTTTCAAGACACTGCGCCATAATTACTGCACATAACATTAACTTTATGATACTTGATGCTCATCCAAAGCTGGGAAGACAATAAGGATGACAAGAGTCACAGGACTTTGACAAAAACTTAAGGGAAGTGTTCTATATTACACGACTCGGGCAGTCAGAGGGCCAATAACTAAAATCAACCAATCAAAATGCTCTATTGCCGGTCAATATTCTCTCAGTATTGGACCTGTCACTGTCCCGAATGGTCCCGAATGATACCGCACTTGTGTCCCTTTGAACTTCAGTCATATTAATAATAAATCTCTTATTAACCAAGCTTGCTCGGGACCGTACTGGAAGAATATCAGCCCTCTGTCTTTTTTGCGCTCGGTCTGTACTGTCAAGACCTTGGGCCAATATTCTCCCAGTATGGCCCTCACGCTTGGTTAATAAGAGATATGTATTACAGTTATCTTGATTGGGTATGGTTTGCCTATGGCTGAATTTTGATCAGGAAGAGAACAACTTACAATGGCAGAGGAATCTTGCTCAGCAAGGAGCCATTTGAATGGAGAAGGGCAGCATGTCCCCAAAAGTGAATGCTGCAGAGGCTATGAGGTGTTCAATATGCCAATATTTAACCAAATCTTGTTTTATCAGAGTTTGGGAAACCAGGTAAGGGAAAACAGGGCCTTTAATTTGGGGCTTCGAAAATATTGGAGAGGCAGAGTGCATTATTGTGGGCACTATTTCAAATAAATGTCAAAGACAATTACAGAAATCCTGACAAAACCCAGAACACAGAGTTTAACCAACTTACTGTATTATTGCCGCTTTTTCAAAGTAATGTATTGCCTTTTCACAAAACTGAGAGTCTATGTAGTAAGCTCCGAGCCATGAAATAATATCAATATTTGATGGAAAATATCTATATGACTGAGAAAAAGAACACTTAAGATTAGTTTTCAATTGGCTATAAATTCAAATAAAATCCAAAGTTAAATTGATGAAAAAGTAAATCATTACACTGTCTTGTTCTTTTTAAGAAACATGGAAGCTAAATGATTAAGTGATGAAAACAAGACAAGCTTTTTCAATAGAAGTCTTCCAGATGGTTGAGATGGAAAACCATGCTGAGGACAACATGGAGGAGGACAACATGGAGGAGGAAAACAGAGAAGGTAAGGGAAAGAGCAGGATGGATGACCTGAAGCTATGTCTCCACAAAAAGGGTAAGTGAAGGTAAATAACATTTTCAAAATTGTAACCTCAAAGTGATATTGGAATGCTTGTGACTTGTCTTGTTCACTGTCATACAGTTCACCAAGCTTGGACAGTACTGATGGGTCAGTAGGCACTACAGAGACAAGCTGCATGTACCTTTTAAGAGAAATATTCAATGTTTGTTGTGAGAATTTAGCCTCATCACACAAAGAACAACATGGTCGTTATAAACAGTTATTACCAAGAATGTATTGGTTACATTTGCCCTTAAGTTTTTAACATCTTTACCTTATAAATATAACTTATTTTTCTGGACTTGAAATCATCTTCATATAATCAGAGTGCCCTACCTTGTTTAGTTTCTGACAACCAAGCTACTGCAGTGTAACAAAGATGTTTACTGTAAAATATTTTAACATCAAAGTTCTAATACCAAAATTTTCTGCCAAAACTTAAAAAAATTAAATTTATAAAAAAACCCCGCAAACTATAATTCTTATATTTTTGCACAACTAAGTGCCCATAAAAATTTAGTTACCATAGTGGCAATAAGATGAAAATTCAGCACATGCATTTTAGACTCACCACTCAATGGCTTGAGCTTTATCTTCTAACATTTCATGTCTTAGCCAATGTCAAGGAAAATCAAAGCAACGATATTACCAATTTGTTTATAAGAGAGGAACTGGAACTATAAACAAATTCAAACGATCCCTGGGTACACCAGGTTTATGGTTTGTCCTTTCAACCACACTTTCATCTACCTCAAATCAGTATTTTACCCCACACTGCTCAGTCTTTTTACTCTTTTGCTTTTTGTGACAAACTTGTGCACTACAGTGTTCTTATGTGATACGGTGAATATATGAAGTTCATATATTTTGAACTGCAGTTATAGATACGTATGATGCATGATCCTCACAGTAGAGAGCACTATTTATGCAATAGCYAAAATCAGACCTGAAAAAAATCAGGCCTGTATGGGATTCGAACCACTGACCTCTGCGATACTAGTGCAGCGCTCTACCAATTGAGCTAACAAGCCAACTGGTCTACCAATTGAGCTTGTTAGCTCAATTGGTAGAGCGCTGCACTAGTATCACAGAGGTCAGTGGTTTGAATCCTGTACAGGCCTGATTTTTTTCAGGTCTGATTTTCGCTATTGTATAAATAGTGCTCTCTACTCCAAGGATCGTGCATCATACATAAGTGTTTTTATGGTTTTAAAATTACAGAGAAAGTACTGTTACATGAGAAAAATCTTCAGTAATAATAATAAAAAAACTTTCTATCCCTAGGTGGAATATACAGGTGTATGAGCATGGAATTATGTGAGTCAGTGTCAAATTAATAAGTACAATGTATTCAGTCAAATAAAGTGAGTGCAAAACATACAATTTGTAGCGGAAAACATGGCGTATTTGTCAAATTTGATTTGGTTTATTGATTAAGGAAGGATACATGCTTGCAATTTGGTAGAGCACTTGAGGATGATTTTTAAGTATGGCCTGCAGCTTGTAGAAACAGTCCAGAGCAATATCCAGTCTGTTTAACTTTTTCTCTGCAAGACCTGTTCATTTAACAAAAAAAAGATACAAATATTTACCATCAAATGGGAAAATAAGTTTGAGAGTTTTCTTTCAAAATACTTCAGTCTCATTGATTCTGTTTTGACCAGGTTTCCATGGAAAATTCATGTCCAGCTACTTACAATGCTGGATAATTAGGAATGGTGTGACATGGTCAACTGAGCTTTGTTGTACTCATGAATAATAAATTTGATTCATATGGTGTTCAAAAGTAGGTGCAGGAATTTGGTCAATTAGGCCATCAGACAGATGGACTACCTCATAACTGAATAAAGGCTGATAGTTTCTAAAGAAACTGTTTGGGGCTGCGTCGGTGGGGGTAACGAAATAATTTGAATATACCAACAAAGTTGAAATTGGTAAATTGGCCGCCATTACGATTATAAAAGCTGACGTTTCGAGTGTTAGCCCTTCGTCGGAGTGAACTCATAACTGGTTGAGGGAATGACTAACTAACTAATTGACTGCTTGTATGTATGTCTGTCTGTCTACCAGACCAATGGACTGGTTGATTGTCTAACTGATCAACCAACTGACTTGTCAATTTACAGATGAATCAACCAAGACCTACCTAAATTAAACAGAGCTTCAGTACAAGAAGCCTCTACATTGTAAGCCTCCTGGTAATATTCTCGTGCTTTCTCATATTGTCCATTAGCAAACAAACAATTCCCTTTGTTAACCAGTGCTGAAAACAAATACACAAAATGAACAGTAAGTAGTTATCTTTAGTTAATAAGAATCTCAGCCCTGTTAACATTTATGTACAAGGAGTAACGTTCCCCTTACTGTGTTGATAAAGTTATCTACAACTCAATTTTTAGCTTTCCCTGCATTGTTTCACATCAAATATACAAACCCTTGGTGATGTGCAGATGTCAACCAACCTGCAGGGTTATATCGATCTGCTGTTATGGCAAGTTCTGCATACTTGTCAGCTTGCGACACTTCATTTTCCTAAATAAGAAATATTTACCATTACACATTTGACTGCTTCTTTTATCAATGTTTAGTATTTCTGGGCAAATAGAGACTATGCAACAACATTACAGACCTGTGCAAAAAAAGAATATGGTTTTTTTTTCCACCCTGGCATAAATCTACAACATTACCATTATTAATAAGGTACAAACAGATTAAATTTATGATGCCTCTTAGAAGATGAGTAGTACATAGAAACAAAATCCTTTATGTAACTTCAACCTTACCAGAAAGTATAAGAAGGACAAGTTAGTGGCAGCAGTAGATTGTACTTTTGAGTCTTTTTTCTCAAATCCTTTGAGAGTTTCAATGGCCTTAAAAGAGAAATTTTATGAATGAGTTCCATGCAGATGATACCGAGTACAACAAGAACTACATTTAGCCATGAAACTTGTAGTGAATTTGGTAAATTTAGATGTGCTCATTTAACACATCAATTCAAAACTGACTACGAGAGAATTTGACATGATTATAGACCAATTGATAAAATCAATGTGATGTTTAGAGAAGGTCAAACTTGTTTTGTGAACAATGCTAATTTGGTAAACATCATATTTCTATTATTACCAGTAGTTATGAAGTTGAGTTACAGTTAATTTTCTATTTAACACCAAACCATACCTTCGCAAGATCCTTCTCTTTCAAGTAAGTGACTGCCTTCGTTATTTCTAATTCATTGGCTAAATCCAGGTAAGGAGATGCCTTTACACACTCAATACACCTGCAAAGCCAAGAGCAACACCTATTTAACTTAATTTTCACTTTCCTTTCCTTACAACTTTTTCAATTACTGTGATACTCAGTAAACCCTGAACAGTTAGATTTGGTTCTCATGTCACTTCACTTTTACGCTGACCAAACAAAATAAAGTTCAAGACAAGTGAACAAACCTTAGAAACAAAATACTGTTTCTGTTTTGGATATAGCTTTTTCACACCTAATTGGCTCTTTCCAAGATACACTATGACACTTCAAACATAATTTTGTTATCCACAATTTTCTGACTTTCAGAGTAAAGTAAGTTGATTTTTTTGTAACTTGGTTTGTAATAACCCTTTCACTCCCAAGAACTCAATGGTAATTCTCCTTACTGACTGCTAGACAATTCTTATGATATTAGTTTGGAGAATTTGATATTGGATAAACTAATAATCTCTTAATTGATATTTTTCATAATGGTTATACTCATCACTTGTCTGCATAATATTGTATTGTTATTGTAAAGAGAAATTCTGTTTAGGTCACTCATGGAAGTTAAAGGGTTAATGATTGTAAATAATACAACAAAACATGAGCTTGAGTACACTTTATAAGTTCACAAGCATTTAGACATCAATTGCCCACAACTATTACTATAATTACAAGATCAAGTTTGTCATCTCAGTATAGTCTGAAATAAACAGAATTATCCAATTAAATGGATAGGAAACTCATTATTTATAAGTTGACTACATTACCAGTCAAATCCTGCTGCAAAACTATTCTCTATAGCAGGAGATATGAGCTTAGCAGCACTCATAATGCATTTATCAGCTTGGGATTTCCTACAAGAAACAACAATTTATGAGGTTTATTCAATGACAACAGTGTGTAAATGAAGAGCTTGCAATTTACATGTATTTCCTTCAATCAGTGAAGGCCAACACAATTTAAACAGTTTTTGTAGATAAGATCTTTGTCTGTTAATTACCTTTTCTACCTCTTAAAACAAATTTTCTATCATCAAATAAAAATCACAGGGAAGATTTAAAGCATTTAGCAAATCAGTTGCCCACAACTATTACTGAAAGTCAAATTATAACCCAAACCGAGTCAGTGAATACAAAGTTAATCGAGCCTACACCTCTTCCCGGGCCCTGTTGTCCAAGCTATAGGAAATATACAATTCTTAATATCAATGAAACTACTTTCTCACATACTTTTGACGTTCAATTTGTCGCAGCTTGTCATTTCTTATTACTTCTAAAATCAATGCTTGCTGGGGATCATCCTTGAAGAACGAAACAAAAAAATCATGTTAAACTTCTATATTTCAACTCGGCACAAGTACTGAGGCTTTGATCATGTGATAAGTGCCCTGCTTACTTCCAGGATCATGGTCCTGCGTGGAGATACAACTGTACATATTAGGAAATGCATAATGCATTAAATGAGGAGCATACGTCTAGCAAGGTATAATTGATCCTAGTCTTTCGAGCCGTAGGGCTCGTTATAATGTACAAATTGAATTGTGGGTAAGATTGCAGGAGGAGAGGCAAACTACTAAAAATCAAGTCTTAGTAAAACACTTTTACCCATCCCCTCATCCAAGAAGGTTTTGATTTCGACAACGTAAACTACTGGTAGTACTCATATAACACTCCGCCAACCAGACAAGCAAAATTTGTTGACCTATAAATTCTGCCAGCTTTGTGAGACTGAAAAAGGAAGTCACAAATAATAATCCTTAAAAATTGTGTGAACTTAAACTTTTCTTACCCCTGTCAAAGTGTACTTGTCTTCATCATCAAACCCAAGGCTAATTGTTAACAATTTTTGAAAAGTCTTCTTCATTTTTTCTTTGTCTCCCAAGGCATAGTAGCACAAAAGCAAGTTGAATCCTGAGTGCATAGAAATTACAGATTAAAGATGACCATGTTAATAATTTTGAGTTTAATTATTCCATATCACAGTTTTATGAAATACTACAGCTACATAATGTTATTTATGAAGCATTATTTTTTAGGCCCTATGTGCCTCTTGAAACAGAAGCAAATAATGCTGTTGATTCTTTTTAGTAAGATCATATTGGTTTTTCACTCTTTAAGAATTGGCTTTGAGTAAAGAGATTGATTCAACATATCCTGGCAATTGACATCAAACCTTTCCTTTCACCTTCAGTTGAAAATGATATTAATAATTATGTGAAAAGTTCAATGCTAGATTTTAAGAGTTGAATTATGATTAGTGTTGACTTATGACACTTTCACCAATGATTGAATCATACCTGTTTGGAAACTTGCTTTCTCGCCCATAATGTGCTCAAAAGAAGTGACAGCATCTGAAAACTGTCCCATCTTAACAAATGCCACACCAATATTTTGCATGATCTTTATCCTAAGAGAGAATTTAAAATTAAAATAACTTTTGAAACTTAAAACTTAAAACTTAAAAATCCTAGTTTATAGAATGTAAAATGTAATACCCCACATATTTTGTCTAGCTTACTACCTTACTGCCTCTGAGTCATTCATTTGACACTATTTTGAAATGCAAATACATGATTGCTGCGCTATCAATTTCATCCTTCAATTCTCTAAGTCACAGTCAACAGCAAAATTGCCAGCACATTTACTGGTAAAACCACTTATCTAGTATCTTATTCTGATCTTGTACCCTTCACATACCTCATGTCTTTGTGAGTGTTGGGCACCTGATCCATAGCCATTCTATACTGTTTTACTGCCTGGGGATATTTCTTTTGTTCACAGTAGATATTACCCATATTCACTCTTAACCGTCCTGAAAGAAAAATGTTTTTCATGAAATAAAACTAGTGACAACAATAACAATATTTTCTCAATAAGCAAGATATTAAAAGGAGTTCCCACACTTAAACAAAATTATTAATTTAATTTAATTTATTCCATTTTCACTGAATTAATTTGCATTAGGGAAGGACTAGAAAGGAACATACGAACCATTCGTGCTAGTCCACCCTCCTACCCATCCCACCCCAGGGGAGGACATCCATCACACAGTAATCTTGTGTGTGGAAAATTAACGTCTCCTACCCCAACCCTGCAGGAGATGGGACCTCCATTTATTCGTCCCTATCCGAGAAGACTAGAATATCTAACCATTTCTTGATGTTATAGAAAGGTAGCAAATTCTTCTCAATTATTTTAAGACCGTGAGTGTTGATCTGACCGGGGCTCGAACCCTTGACCTCCCGCACAACAGTCCAGCGCTCTATCCATTGAGTTAACTGGTATTGCGCTATTCCATTGAGCTAGTGGTATTTAACTACACAAAGTACACTTAAGACACCATTTCCCTCAACATCTAACCCTAAACATCACACCTACACAAAGTACGAAGGCATAAAATTATTAGTATGTACGTGTACAATTCATTTGGTTCAAATTAATTGTAATCTGAAATAAACAACGATAAATAATGATCAACCTGGCTACACACAACCCACAACATACCTACAACCACAACATATATATGTACAACATGAACTTTACCTGCATTGCTAAACATCTTGTTTTTGACAATAACCTGGTATGTGTTCAGAGCCTCTGCATACAGTTTGTTGGCATGATACTGATTGGCTAGATTGAACAACACCTAAACAACAGCAGAATCAAAAAGTCAAATAATTATAACAGAGGTGACTACAGAACAGTTCACTGTGAACTGTTATGGGAGTACAGATCACCTTTCTCTAACATTCACAAACTGTTTGACCCAGTAGCATAAAGTCTTCGTCTCTAAATTACCAATTGAACTAAAATGGCCACAACTCAGAAACTTTCTCCTATCACGAGCTATTGACTATGGAAAACTTAAAGAACATGAATACACTTAGTGGCAAAAACTGGCAAACTAGAAATTCATACTTTGTGTGCTACTAACATGATATCAACAGCATTGGATCCCACAGTCCATAAGAACTCAATCAGTTGTAAACAAGCAAACTACCTGGAACCTTTCATTCAACTTTAAATTTCTGCACCTGATTATTTAGGAAGACAGCTCAAGTTTTCTTGACCAAGCATATAGCATAGTAATGCAGAACCAAATCTCTGTTCACTTTTGAAGTTAAAGTACAAAATACCCTGCAGACCAAAAGGAATTAAGATGAGGTACAGTACTTACTGAGTAAGTCATATCCAGATTCACTTGTTCTCCAAGAGATGACTGCTCCCTCTGACGACACAAAGCACGCTCTTTTCTACCTGCCTCTTTAGCTTTTTCAAGGGCCTATTTATGAGGAAAACAGGAATAATGTCATAAGGTATAGGGTAAGTACTATTAGTCAACTTTAGTTAACCCTTTAACTCCTAGA